ACCTGCTCCTTGAGGAAACTTAAAAGGGCCGTGCTCTCACATGGTGGCTGCCAGCTAGGTTGGTGATGGCAAAGTGCATGCGTGACAACTCTTGCCCGCCCTCAGTTTGCTGGTATACTGAGGCCTCGGTCTGACCAGTGGATAGCCACTGGGGATGCCCATGCTGGCAAACATCCATCTGGACAAAGGAGTAGGTATCTCCAACATTAACGACCTCCACAGTGAAATTGCAGAAGTCTATAATTTCCAGGGCCCGTGGATGCAGGCAGAAGATGAGGGTGAGGGGTGTGATAATGGAGCTCAGTAACTCCTCCAAGATGAACACTGCCTTGTACTGGAAGAGCTGGGCAAACTCGTTCCGGGTTTGCGAGTGGTGGATGTTACCCCGCCAGTTGTCAGGCATGTAGTGGATGTGAGCGAGGATCACGCGGAGCAGCTGCTCAGGGCAGAACACCATCTGCTGGTCCGGGATAAAGGAGCTGCACACCGTCACAGTGACCCCCAGGAGTGTGACGGTGGTGAGGCCGTGTTCCACAGCTAACACACCTTCGTCGTAGATGGGGAGGGCAATAAGCACAGCCAGGATGGAGCCAGCAAAGAAGGCGCATCGTTGGCCAGCAGTGTCAGCAGAGATGTCAAGAAGCAATTCATGTACTTGGAGGCTGGCTTGTAGCCACAGTTCAGACGGGACTGCAGCTCATGCTCCAGCTCGTTGAAGTGGCAGAGGTAGCAGTGTCCATAGAGTGACCAGCAACGTGCTCCCAGGGCCCCAGGCTCCCGCTTCAGCACCTCAGCAGAGCTGAAGAAGGCATAGAGGATCTGCCAGATGAGGATGAGGGGGCACAGCAGGAAGATGGCGATGCCAATCCACAGGATGCGGTTGCTGAGGCGCTGGGCCAACTCTAGCCGTTGCCCCCCATGTTTGTACTTAGCCTTGAGGCTGCACTCATTGAGAAACAGAGAGCCAGGTCCACAGAAGAGGATCAGCTCGAAGTTGTACTTGAGGCTACAGGTGAAGAAGACAACCTCCCCCAGGCCAGGCAGGCGGAAATGCAGGGACGGGGGAGATTTGTTAACCACTGGCATATAGAATTGCCATAAAATTTAAAATAATATATACGCAAAAGCCACGAGATCACTTTTTACTGCAAAATCCAATTTACTACAGAGACAATCTGTTCACAAGGAAATGATTAGTGCCACTGGCATTTTTTAAAAATATATTTTTATTGACTTCAGAGAGGAAGGGAGAGAGAGAGAGAGATGAAACATCAATGATGAGAGAGAATCATTGATTGGCTGCCTCCTGCACGCCCCCCGAATTGGGGATTGAGCCCACAACCTGGGTATGTGCCCTTGACCATAATAGAACCCGGGACCCTTCAGTCCGGAGGCCAAGGCTCGATCCACTGAGCCAAACTGGCTAGGATGTGTCAATGGTCATTTTAAGTGCTCCTCACAACACTTGCACAATAGCAACAGGAGGTGGTTATGAAATTATTACATTAGTATACTATGTACTACAGTTAAGTTTATGCATTTCTGATTTAATATTTTATCTTTACATTTGTTTACATTTCTCTCCACTGCAAATGGATTCATGTATGGTCTGAAAGTGTTTCTGTGTGTTAAGTTTTAATAGATTTTAACTTTTTACACTAGATCTGTATATATTTTATGGTAGTAAATGGACTAATACTATTATTCTATGGTATTAAAATATACTATATCTAAATATATTTCATGCATTCATGACATACCTGTTTCATGTTTTTTGATGCATGTATTTCTATGCTATGCAGTTCATCTATGAGTTTTTTCAAATTGTTGCAAATTTCCAAAAAAATTTCCAATATATTTACTGAGAAAAATTTGCATATAAGTGAACATATGCAGTTCAAACCCGTGTTTTTCAAGAATCAACTGTGTATATATGTGTGTGCATATATGTGTGTGTATATGTATTTAAAAATTTATTTAGATATAGCATGATAAACTAAAAAGGTTAAATTCCTAATCTTTGAAACTATATATTCTTTTTTTTAAAAATATGTTTTAGCTCAACCACAGAACCACACCAACTGGGCAGAAACTATATATTCTTAATCATATCCTTAGCACATATAGTCATGGAAATATCACTTCCTGAAAGAAATTATTTAATTCAGTGACTATCATAATCTTTGCAATTTTGACAACCTCTGTAGTTAATTTTCAAACATTCTAGCCCTCTCAACATACAATATGACAATTTCTAAAATTGATTTTATTTTGATACATGTGTATGAATACTTCCATACTCCTTGAGATAAAAGAAGATACTCAGAGTGGCATAAAACTAAGCTAGCAAGTACAGTAGTCTCCCCTTATCTGAGGTCTTGCTTTCTACAGTTTCAATTGTCTGCAGTCAACTGTGCTCTGAAAATATTAAATGAAAAATTTCAGAAATAAACAATTCCCACATTTTAAATTGCAAGCTGCTCCGAGTAGCATGATGAAATCTCACACGGTCTCCCTCCACCTGCCTGGGATATGAATCATCCCTTTGTCCAGTGTATCCACACTACATACACTACCTGCCCGTTAGCCACTTAGTGGCCATTTGGCTATCAGATTGACTCTCGGTGTTGCAGTGCTTGTGTTCAAGTAACCCTTATTTTACTTGATAATGACCCCAAAGCACAAATGTGGTAATGGCAATTTGTATATGCCAAAGAGAAGCCATAAAATGCTTCCTGTAAGTGAAAAAGTGAAAGTTCTGCCCTAATAAGGAAAAAAACTGTACAGTCATGCGCTACGTAATGACATTTCAGTTCAATGATGGACCACACATACGATGGTGGTCCCATCTATAATAATAAAAGTGTAATATGCTAATTAGACAGGACGGCTGAATGACCTTCCAGATGACATTCCAGACGAAGCTGGGGCTGCAAAGGCCGAGGCAAGCCAAGGCTGCAAGGGCCGAGCCCCTTGCACAAATTTTGTGCATTAGGCCTCTAGTAAGATTATAATGGAACTGAATAATTCCTATCAACTAGTGATGTCCTAGCACAACACCTTACTCACCTGTTTATACTAAGTGTAAACACTCCTACTGCGCTGCCAGTCATATACAATTATGTACAGTATATAATACTTGATAATGATAATAAATGATGTTACTGGTTTATGTACTTACTATACTATACTTTTTAATATTATTTTAGAATATGCTTTCTATTTATAAAAAATAGTTTACTGTTAAAATAGTATGCCAAGTTACTCCAACAGCAGCCTCATAATCTCGTGTTTACTGCATCTCTTGATTGAATCATTTTATCTTGAGCTTGATTTAATCTCATGTTGTTTTATAGATTCAGTGTAGCCCAAGTGTAAAGTGTTTATAAGTCTACAGAAGTGTGTGAAACTACAAGTGCCTTCACAGTCACTCATCACTTACTCACTGACTCACCCAGAGCAACTTCCAGTCTTGCAAGCTCCATTCATGGTAATAGTGTACCATTTTTATCTTTATAGCCGAGCCCTACTGTACCTTTTTTATGTTTAGATATGTTTAGATACAAATACTTAGCACTATATTACAACTGCCTAGAATGCTCAGTACAGTAACATGTTGGATATATAGCCTAAACATAGGCTGTATAAAACATAGGCTATACAACAGGCTATACCATATATCCTAGGTATAGAGTAGACTATATCAGCTAGGTTTGTGTAAGTGCACTTTATGATGTTTGCACAACAACAAAATTACCTAATGGCACTTTTCTCAGACTGTCATTAAGCAGTGCATAAATGTATGCTGAGGTTGCTAACATTTATGGTAAGAATGAATCTTCTGTCCGTGAAACTGTACAGGCAAAAGCAGTGTGTGCTAGTTTTGCTGTCACATCTCAAATTGCAAAAGTTAAGGACATAGTGTGTGATAAGTGCTTAGTTAAGCTGGAAAAGGCATTATATTTGTCAGTGGAAGACAAGAACAGAAAACGTGCTCTGATTGAGAGCAACATTTTGCATCAGAAAACAGTCTGTATGAAGACTTTAGCAAGGGATCCCTGAAACAAGGGACACCAAGACATTTACTGCAAGTTAGGTTTACTATACAGATAAGTAAACCTATTTGTTTTACTCTTACTTAATCTTAATCATACAATTTATTAAAATGAAATCTAAGAGCATTAAGTGCAGTTAATAAGAAATCAAAGGATGTTAATACAAAAATG